TTATAATTAATAATAATTAACTTTAGAATACAAATTAAATAAACTCTTAATTAATTTATTTATTTTAAGAAGGCAATAACAATAGTCAATCGGTAAGGTGGAGGGATCGAAGTAAAAACTTATTTTTAGTCATTTATCTTATTAGATTTATAGGTTTTAACCTCTCATTTTATATTATGATATTTTTATCTCATTATTTATTACAATTGAAGAAAATATCTCTCATTTATAATATTTCGTTAGTTTTATTAACTGACTGTTAACTTTGTTAACTAAAAGTAAGTTTTTGTTAGTTAATAGTTAGCTAATAGTCAACTAATAGAATTAACAGGTAATTAACAAAATAGTTCTAGTAATTAACAAAATAGTTCTATTAATTAACTATTAACTCTATTAACTGAAAGCAGGTTTTTGCCAGTTAACAATCAGTTAATAGTAAGGTAATAAAATTAACAGTCAGTTAATAAAACTAACAAAATGTTATAAATGAAAGGTTATTTTCTTTAATTCTAATAAGTGAGAAGTTAAAAGTGTTATAATATAAAGTAAATGATCAAAATTTATAAATTTAATAAGATAAAGATCTAAAAGTAAGTTTTTGTGATAACGACATAGACATGTCCGTCTAGCCCATATGAACTTTTATTTTAGAAGATCGCATGGCCTTGACTACTTGATCTTTAAGCCCCGGCCCATAATAAACATATTATCTAATGGGCTTTAGAAACCTTATCCCCTTTCCCGGGTTGTTACCGGGGTTTCAGTTGAGAAGCCCAACGTGAATCTCCAAATTTAGCTAAAAAGAAGTGGCAGTTTTGGCTCTCTTTTCTCCTACTGAACCCAAGAGACACACACAGTTACAAAAAGTTAATGGCAGCGGTAGGATTGTCATCCTTATCCTGCCCTTACAAGGTAGATTCCAAATCTTTTCTCCACCCACCAAATACCATTTTTTTAATTGAACTTCTTTTAGCATGAACATGAATTTTTCTTATTAAGTATCTTCTTCAAGAAATGGGTCTTATTAGGAATCAAATTCATTGTTGGTTCAAGTGTTTCTGTGCTGTTCAAACTCTTGCTCTGCAAATTATTGTGTTTAGCTTGCTTTGTTATTGTCCTTGGTTTGATGCTAGAGTTGCATTCTTGGAAGCAATGCAATTTTTGTTCAGTAAAAATCTATTTGGTTTTAGAATGCCTATGGTGAAATTCCCATGAAAACTGGTCGCTTTACCCTCATAAAGTTTGCAGGGTTGATGGGTTTTATTTTGAGTTGAATATCCTATAAGCTGTTAGTTGCAGTAGAAATGGGTATATATAGATTAGAAGCTGAGAACATAATGAATTATTATTGACAAATATTGAAAATTTATAGGCTTAGTGAAACTTGAATTAGGATTGAATGTTTCCTTCTAAACATTATGATGCCAATGTTTAGTAAAAAGTCCTAAGATAACTTAGAGCACCCTGTTATATTGTTAGAGTTGTATTACGGATTGAATGTTTGGAAAGGAAATTAGGGAAACACTGCCAAGAGCAGTCAACTCAGGTCTCAAGGATGAAGTATAAATGAAACTTGATAGATCAATTTCAGAGATCATATCTAAGGTTTCATAATAATCTACAAACAGTGTGTCTTAGACTTTGTTGATTTCCTTAATCTCCTGCCGGTTGGTAATACTCAGTGAACTAGATAATTTATTTTCTTTGTTGCAGCTTGATTGCGGTTATGAGCAATTGAATTCAGTTCATAAGCTTTGGATCTTCTCCATCGACAGCCAATTAGGACATGTGAGGAAAAGTGAACACCTACGAATGGATAAAACCATGGAATTATCATTTTTTATGAGGAATCCACACATGACATCTTTGTACTTGGCGCCTAGAACACAAATGTTCCAGTTTCCACTTGCCCCATGAAACCAAATTCGAGCTTATCTTTTACTTCCAGCACCGTTATATGCTACCTTGAATTGTCCAAGAGGCTTTGGACCTCCACCAAAGAAGAAAAGGAAGAAGTCAAAAACTGGTTATATATGATGAAGATGATGGTGATGAAGAAGAAGAAGAACTTGAACCAGATGCAGGCATAATACTGGAGGTAGTGACCAACAGAATGATGAACAGGATGGGGTTCAAAGTAGGGGTCCCACTGTTTATAGGACTCTTGTTCTTCCCATTCTTCGACTATCTCAAAGTTGTTTTGAAATTTGATGTGCCTACATGGGTGCCCTTCATTGTTTCATTCATCTTCTTTGGGACTGCTCTCTTGGGAGTCAGTAATGGTATTGTATCCTCCAGTTGGGAACCAATGAGGGAAGGCTCGCTCTTGGGATGGAATGAGGCTCAGAAGAACTGGCCTGTCTTTTGGCAATCTCTCCGCGGTGGATCACAAAAGAAGTAGAACTTACTCCTTCCATTTTCTCTTCAACTGAATCATATATTCTTCTTCTCTTTAGTTTTTTCTCCTTTCTTTTGTATATTTGAAAAAGTAGAGTTTGATGCTACATGCCCAATAACAAGCAAGTCACTGGCAATATAATAGTTAGTTCTATTCTAATTGAAGCATAAAAAAAGGTAGATTTTAGGCTTTCGATGAATATCATAGTTAGAAACTTTTCGGTGGAGAGTTAAGTAAGGAGAGAGGGGATGGTTACCATTCGTTGATTCAATTTGAAATAAAGGAATCAAGGAAATATAGTAAAAGCAATTGGAGATTCAGAAAACCTGAATTTTAAGTTGCTTTGACCTTTCTTGTTCTTGCTTTTTTTTTTTCCTCCTTCAACCTATAACCTCAACATTAATGGGCCAATAGGTATGGGCTAGGAATCAATATAAACCTCAACTTTAATCTCTTTTATTCTGCATTCCGTTTGTTTGTTTGTTTGTTTGTTTTTTTGTTTTCTTTTCTTTTCTTTCTGGGTGTTAGGATTCATGGAGGAAAGACTAGTAAATTAGCATTGAACTAAACACATAAAACAACATATTAAAAAAAAAAGAAAAAACTAAGTACCATCCATTCTATCAAATAGTTGTTGTTTTGTCATTTAATATAGTTCGAACAGTAAAATTGTAAATTCATAATAAATAATTCTCTTCCTTCTTACACTATTCTCGTCCATCTAACGTTCGACCATGAAACCTTTGTTTTGAAGGTTTTGAACCCAAACTGTTGAAACATCCTGGAAGGAGACTAAAATAGCAAATATTGTTTTAGTTGATTTGTTTAGTACGTTATGTCCTCATGCAGGTTTGATATAATGCAAAAGGGACAAAAAAAAATGATGACAAACGGATGAATTAAAAGGGTTTTGATAAGGTTTAAACAGGTCAGGTGGTCTCTTCTTTTAACATGGTTGGGGGGTAACAAATGTTTTTTTTCTCTGAAACAAGAAATCAAAAGAAATAATCAAAGTAACCAATCAAACATTGGAAACTGCAAAAGACTTGGGGATTGTGTTATAATACTAGATCTCCTTTAGAACAGATCGCTGAATGGCTTTATAATCACTTTTGAAACTACACAAAACACACATTCCCTATGTTTAAACATTAGACAAGACCCTTCTCCCACCCCCAACAACCAAGTATCTTTCATGTATTTTTAAGCATTCTGAGATTCATGTCTTCTTCTTTTTTTTCCTTTTTTTTTTCTTTTTTAATTTGAATATCAAAATTAGAATATAAAAAAAAGAAGAAATATTAGTATATCCTAATATTAAGAATATCAAAATATTTAATTTTAACTACATAATGGATGAGATTTATGTGAAATCTACATTATATCTCACTTATAATTTAATTTTATAAGAACACTCTGATTTTTCACATCCTTAACCTTGATACATGGTGCCGGGGATCTCTGTCGGATTTTTTGAGTTCTCCATATAACTATCAAATGACTCTTTTGTTAAGTTATTTATTTAAGACTTCTTCAAGAGCTAAATGTGGTGTTGATTTAAGGAAGACTGAAATAGGTCAACAAAAACTGAAATGGGCATACAAAATGATTGCCATTTCCTCACTTAATAGAAATTAGATAAAGAGATGTGAAAGAAAAAGAGGGAAAAAAAAAAAAAACAAGATTAGAATTAAAGCAAATGGACATTTTAAAATTGGTTCCAATGCAAACCCAACTAATGGGGAATGGCTTTGGACCTTGACTATGCTTTTCTTGCTTAGGAAGATCTTGTAGGACCTGCTTTAGCCAAAAGCTTAGTAACCTATGTCTGGTCACATAACATCTCTGATGTTAGGATACAAAAGGATAAAGAACGAAAGATTCATTCATTCATAATTGATTCACCCTTCGGCCTTAAAAAGAAGATTGTTGCTTGTATTTGTGTTGTTTTGCTGTCCCTCTATTCCAAGCATTCTTTGCTTAAAGACAGGTTAGCCCCAAGAAAGAATAAAGCCAAGGACAAAACAGTGTGGGCTTAAAGTTAAAGCACAAACAAAATGCATTCATTCTCATACACACGCACACTTGCCCCAAGAGCGGAGCAGTATCACCAGTGCTGACAAACTGACCATAACCAGCTAACATCTCTTTGGGGTTAAATGTTCAAACTTGATGTGCTGCCCCAGAGAAAGGGACAATGCCTATCTGAAATCCAGCAGTGATGGATCACAGCCCCTTGGGTCAGTCACCAAATGTCTGTTCCTTTCCTCCTACAGTGATATCTGAAGTCTGACCTCAAGGGAGATGGATAAGGAAAATCAAGAGATCCATAGAATGGGGGTATGGCCATAACATGGGCCTTAATTGTTTTGTTCTAAGTAGTTAGAATCCTTTGGTTATGTTTTTTGACAAGATGGGAGATCTTGCTACACTCCAATATGGATTTTAACAGTGTGGATTCCTTCCCCAGCAGTACATCCAGGTACTAACCCTCCCCCCCTGCAATCTGATTGGACCATGCAGTCCTAAGCTTTTAGAATAGGTGTATCCGTAGGTCTCATTGTTCAATCTTCGATCTCACCGAACTCCACTAAACGGTGTGATGGATGGCGCATCTTATTGAAAGAGATAAAATATTATTCAGAACTCGAATTTTTAATGATTAACAACTAATAAAACTAATTTATTAATTATTGTTTAAAAAAAAATTTCTTTGGTCTCACCCTTCCACTCGGCAAGCATCATACTCACGTGACCTCATTCTTATTTGGATCTATTTCTCTCATACACCCTATCTAGTAGGAGTTCTTTTAAAGCCAAAGCCAATGATACTAAACTTGATTGCATCTCAACTTTTGCCATTGTCTTTCTCCCAAAAGGTCTTGCTTGTCTCGCATAATCCTAAATATTCCTCTAGTCTATATACCCTAAACCTAAAATTATGAGGATTTCTTTTCGAAATTCTTTGCCATAGCTCTCTTTATTCTTGTATGTATTTTGTTTACTTTCCAATTCTTCTGCGATGTTATATATATAGATATTAAAAAATATTACCGAGGATTCAAAAAGCCCTTTTTAATGGATCTATTAATTTTGAAATGAATAGTTTGTCCTTAACTATACTGTGTCAAGAAAAAATATATATAACCAAAAACAAAACACACTAAAAAAAATTAGTATTTTTGTCAAATGTCATTTTTTTTTGTCAAACTCAATTTAAGGGATTAAGACTACATTTATTAAAGGTGACAAAACTACTAAATCAAAAAAGATTAGTTGCTTATCAAATGTCATTTTAAATCTTCTTACTACAAAAATAATTTTTTTTTCTTCTTTCCTTTGAATTGAAACTACTACCTACAAAATAGGCAAAAGAAAAAAGGTGTTTTTATAATAAGATAAATGATTAGATGAGAAATTAACTCTATGTCGTTAAGGATTATTTTTTATTTTAAATTATAAAATAAAAAACTTTAAAGCAAATCACGTGATAACAACGTACCACAATGGAGTAATGGGCCAAAAGTACAGGGAGTTAAGTGTTATGAAATAAAATTTCAGGTGTTAAATTGAGAACCAATAAAACTCTTGGGCGCTCTCAAAGATTCCATGATCAAATCCCAGCCATCCATCTCCTCATGCCATTCTGCCCAATCACCGCCACGTAATCAACTTGCTGTACACGTAAGAGAGCAGATCCCTGCCGTCCTTCCCCTCACTTAAGACACATGGGTCCCAGATGTCCTCTCTGACCAAGACCGACCTCCTTGCAAGGGTAACGGTTTCTCAACCCCGTCAGCACAGGATGCAAACATTGAAAGTGTTGTTTGATGAAGCTGTTTACAGTATTTACTTTTATAGATATTTATAAATTTTTTTTATAATTTACGTGTTTAGTAAATCATTTATTTTTATTTTTTAAAGAAATATAAAAATTATTTTATTTAAAATTAATAAAAATTTTAAATAATTTTTAAAATTTTTATACATTATATATTAAAATTTAATTAATTTAATTTTAAATAATAATTTATTTAATTAATTAATTTTACAATAAATAATTTTTTTAAAATATAATTATTAAATATTAAAATACTTTTCATAAAAAATAATACAATCCTTTTAATAATTACAATTATAAAGTTTTTTTATTAAATTTTTTAGTATCTAATAATTACATTAAATTTAATTAATTTACAATCAAATTGTGTTAAATCTTATGATAAATAAACTCTCACAATTCTTATTTTTCATTTACAAAACTTCGATTTAAAAATTTATTTAAAAAACATCAATTTCTTTCTAATCAAATCAAACATGGTCGTTATTATATTTATATATATATATACAAGGTTGTCGAACTAAATTTAAAACAGTAAACATTCCCTTTTACCGTTATATAACGGGGAAACTCTAACGGCGTCAACTCCCTGTCCTATATAAGTACCGGGATGTCCATCTGTTCTCTTCTCCTTGTCTTTACCCAAATATTCTTGCTATTTGTAGGCAGGGCGCGACAACCGCAGCGGGCGCTCCGTATTCAAACTTTCCGTTTCGGTAGCATCTCGGGTCCAGATTCAGTCCGGCATTTCGTCCCGGCGAGATATTGTTGTCTGTTGATCTGTTTTTTTGAAGATATTTCCGGCCGAAATTACGGGGATTCTCATTTAATGTCCTGCTTCGCAACCTGAAGAAGATCGAAACGGAGCCAGAATTTTCATATCCATCAGCCAACCATCCGGTGTGCCTGAGCTGTGGGATTCAAGTTTCATGGAGGTAATAAAACATTTTTCTGTGCTTTATTATTTTCATTTTTTTTTCCTTTCCCTCACTTTCTCAGCTACCAAACAGAGGATTACTTTAGCAGGAGTATTTCTTTTCCTTTTTCTTTGTTTTCGCTTTGTTTAAATTCCTTTACTCAAATATTCTTGGTGATTTTAGATCCTATCCGATCAAAAGGTCTGGAGGGATTTAGTTAAGTTTTCCTTTTTACAGTTTCCTTAAGAGGAGTCCGCTGATTCTTCTGAGTGTTGTTTGGTTACTAAGAAAATTTGCAGGTGGATGTATAAATGAGTGATAAAGCAGGGGAAATGAAGGATCAGGAAAAGGACTGAGGAAGATTAAATTTTGGGGGGGAGGGTTGCTATAAAGGAGACAGCTAAGAGAGAAATCGCTTGGCATTTGGCTTTGGGTAAGTCGTTTTCCAACAAATAAATGATGCCAATAGTGCTTTTCAAGTTGAACAAATCTCAATGCGTTTCTTTTCCCCCTCCCCTCCCCTCCCCCACCCACCTCTCTCTAGACTCCGGTCCTCCCCCAATATTCTATTGTCTCTTTGTCTATTCATCTACCGCTTTCATCCTTCGACATACACAGCTCTCCTGAACAATCACTCCATCATCTTTTTCTCTTCTTTGATAAATAATTTGGTCCCAATGTAGAGATTCTTCCTCTTCTTTTTTTATTTTATTTTATAAAAATTTTTTATCTTGAATTAATTTTTTAAGAAAAAATATGGGTTTGTCAGGAACTTCGGCTTCTTCAACAGTAGTATGTGATATTCCATACTCAGTCACTGTCAAAATTTGGTTGCTTTTCAAGATGGGTTATGGTCCCGTAATGTTTTTCTCTCTTAACTTTGTTTTTGTTGTGGGGGTCCTTTGGGACTTCTTCACTGATCCCGATTTCCTTTTTTTTTTCTCTTTCTTTTCTTTTCTTTCCCTTCTTTTTGTCTTTCTCAAAGATTGAAGGAATTAGGATTTGAGTTCATTTTCTTTTGGGCTAGTGGAATTTTGTTTCGTTGCATTTTGTTGTGTTGGTACCAAACATGATGGAATTTGCCTATTTTATTTAATCCCAATGTGTGTCACCATCCCTTATTAATTTACTTTTTTTAGCACTATTTTATTGTACAAAATCTCCTGAGTACAGAACCCAATCCCAGAATGTCTCCACTGTTGAATAAATAGAATGTTCTATCTTATTCTGTTCAATTGACCTTAATCACCCCCCCACCAAATCCCAATCATTTTATTTATTTATTGCACTATTTTATTATCCAAAAAATTATACCTTAATTTTTTTTTTTATAGATAAATAATTGTGTGACCCAATTTGATTTGTTAATTGCAGGAATAGGAAATAATAAAATCAGAAGAGTGAGGAAGAATATACCTACGGGATAAAAAATGTTTACGTGTATCGCGTGCACAAAACAAATGGCGGAGGGAGAGGAGGAAGTAGAAGGTGCGCGTGGGAGTGGCACGCCAAGTACGAAGGAAGCCGTCAAAAGCCTGACGACGCAGGTTTGTTGTTTTTTAACCCTTCCACTCTCCTTACATTTGGTTTCATCCAATGGTCGTTAGGGTTTGCTTTTTATCTTGGATATATCTACTTTTGTGCCATTATGATACATATTAAAAATATAATTAATATATTTTTTATATTAATTAATATAAATAATAATTTTATTAGTAACATTACATATATTGTTTTAAATGAATAATTAATTAAATAAATATGAAATTTTATTTTTAAATGATAAGCAATTTTTTATAGTAAAATTAAAAATTAATATTAATTTTATTAATTATTTAATAAAAAATATTTTATAACTCTTATTAATAAAATTTTAAATAAATAATAATAATAATAATAAATATAAAAATATATATTTTTATCTTACATTCTAAGTGCACAAGATAAAAAAAAATTTCTATTACAAAAACTCTTTTAACTGTTGCCTGGTTTTACCAACAAAATGATAAACCCCACAATTAGCCGTCTGATCTCGATCTTGCTGGGGACCACCTGTCCCCTTTGCCATTTCCTCGTTGATTTATTTATTCAGTGGACGGTTTTAGTTGCGTGTGATGAGGCGTAGGATTTTGTTTTGACCAGCTCTAAGTTAGATTTCTGTCACGTGTACTGATGGCCCCACCATACCAATCTCGTTATACGTACATATTTGAAATTGAGCATGTCCTTCACGCGCCTGCCCTTTTTTTTTTTTAAATGTTTTCTTTATGCCTAACAGTGTAAATGCAGTAATTACCACGAGATGAAATGATTAAATTGATATTTATTAATTTAAAATTTTTAATTTTAAATTAAAATAAAGTAACTAATGTAAAAAATATATACAATACCGCAGTCCTAATTTTCTTTTTCAGAATAAAAAAGAAAAAGGAAAAGAGAGTTTAAAAAGGATTATACGCCAAAATCATTCATATCATTGTCTTAAGGCATAAATTGTTGAGTAATGACTAATTAATGAGGGAGGATCTAATCTGCAAAGAGTCTTTCAACCCTCTGGGGAGTGGGGACTCCGTATGTTACTTTGTGTGATGCAGTGGGTTTTAGGCCTCAGGCTATTACACTGGGGATTTGAGCCTATGGAACCTTATGCACTTGTTTTCTGCCAAACGCCTAAACCTAAGCAAAACCGCCGAACCAGAGTGCGGCGAGAGGCAGCCATAGCCATAGCCAGAAAACTGGGGCTGTCAATTTTTAGCCTGAATAATTGATAAAAATTAATAAACTAAGATCAACCCGCCGTAAAATTTCCTATGAAATAGGAAAACATTAAAGTATTACTCTATTTTAAAATATATTATGTGTATTATATAAAGTTTATTATTTTATAATATAAAAAATATATATTTAAATGAAAGAAAGTTCTCAATATGTAAGAATTTATCTCTCATTCAAAGGTTGATATTTTACTGTTTGAACTGTTAAAATAGTTTTTCGTTTTATATGTGTATGTCAGCAAAGAGAATTTATTTATAGTTTTCCTGCCTGTTTGCTTCTACTTTTCTTGGGTGGAAAATCATGTTTCTATGAGATATACACTTTAACGTACTGTATAACTCAAAAAACATTTTATTGCTAATTTTGTATTAGGCCTCTATTTTCATTCAGCTTATTATATGGGATTTTTTTGTCTAAGAAATAAGCTTACTCTATTGGAGTCATTAATTATTAGGCTTGAGTGACATTCTCCTACTTTTATAGTTTGTACCAAGGCTTATTTTGTAAGGACTAATCTCCAGGAATCCAGGTCAAACAAACCCCACGAACAGATTAATTTTTTCTCTCTTTTTTTTTTTTTGCCTCTCTCATCTGGATTATAATAACTACTCAATACTGTGATTCTCTTATATCTTTTTCTGAATTATTGATTAATGATTATTTTCTACTGTAATATTTTCTCAACCCAGTGCCTGTAGGGGTGAACAAATAAAAAAATGGTTTAGTAGTCAAATCTCTAGAGAATATGTAAGATAACTGGGTAAATTGGGTGAAAAGTGTATTCTTTGCAAAGTCCTAGGTGGATTGTTCAACCCCTAAACTTAGATTTGGGTGGTGAACACACTGAACAGTGTGGCCACTTAAAGTTAGTTCATGTAAGATTGAATGGTTGCAAATATTCCCATGTTAAGCATTTGTGGGTATCTTTTAGAAAAGAATAGTATATTAAGAAATGAAACTGAGTCTGACCCACCACTGAATTCTGGTCGATCCACTGTTTTTGAAAGGTAGAACTATCATGTGGAATGGAGAAAGAAAAAGAAAAAAGGGAAAATCTAGTCTGTGCTGATGGGCGGTGAAATCAAATTCATTGACAGATAGAGCAGGCCTTAGGGTACAGCAGAAAAGTTAATTATCATTTCAGACTGTGTGTTAGACCATTACCGTTGACTGATTTTCCCACATTATTCACTGTTGCCTGCCTACTGTTTTGTATTTTCTCTCATGTTTTAATTTTTTGGGACGAGGGGGTTAGGAATTAAAGTTCTGACATGGACTATTCAATTTTGTTTGTTCATTTCTAACGTTGGGCCACTTGACTCTATATAATAATATAGCTTGACACCTTAAATGATAGGAATACGAACCTCTTGGATGGTGGAAAGATTCGTTGCAATTGTAGAGAACTTAAGAACTTAGGTTTAAGCTCCTAAACCGCAGAAATCCATCTCGAGTGAGATGGATAACCTTTGAGTCTCTAACCACACAGGCCAGGTGTAATGGTCCACAAATGTTGGTTGTGCTTGCCCCTTCAATCTGGTTCACATAAAGTCTATATGCAGCATTAACTAGTAATATTTTAGTTGTTTTTGGGCCCGTTTGGTTGCCCAAGAACCCCAAAAATATTTCCCAGGAAGCCATGAGCTGTTGGGCCATGACTTTTACTCGGAATATTTTTTTTAGTGTTAAAGAACATGACCATTTATATTTGAGGTATAATCAATTATACACTTTGGAAAGTCCTTTTTGAAAAAATATCTTAGAGGATTTACTTCTAAGATATATAATCATTTACAACAAAAAAGTAATACATTATATCACTTAAATATTTATCTAATTAATTTCTCAATAATATAATTATTTATATTGCAGCTTTAAGATTTGTACTAAAAAAGTGAAATCCTAATTATAACCGGCTAACTTTTAAATATTGGCTTTCCTAGTTATATTTTTCATGTTCTTGAGTAAGTAAATATGCTCTAAGTGATGAACTGGTCCTTCAAATTCAAGTAATTTATCTTCAAATCTTAAGACACTTGAATTAATTAATTGAGATTTTGACCTCATCAACGTCTTGAAAAATTTTTCTCTCCAAATTTCCAAATTGTAAACTGTTAAAAAAAAAAAGAAAAAAAAAAGAGGGCCCTAAGTGACAATCGAGACCGGTGATTCTACTTTACAGTAAAAAAAGGTTGAGTGTGCTTAAGATGAAACGCTTAATACAATGTGAAACCCGTATTGTACTCTTAAGGGAACTCCATTAGTAACTGATAAATGCACCGTACTTATTCAGAGCAACAGTTGCTGAATCATCTATAGCCACAATAAATGCAGGAAACTGTACTTTCAACAGTAATTCAATTCTTGTCAAGTATCAACCATTAGTACTTGACGTCTTTTAGAACGTTAAACTCTCCCTTTTAGAGAGTGGATCCTGGTTTTTTGGACAGGATGAATTATGGGACCGATCTCTTATCCTGTAATAGTGGATTCTAAGTGGACATTCTTTGTCCAACTTACCTAATGCAGATTTTGAAGATATTCCATCTTGATTGCATTTTGATCATGTGTACCTGTCATTTTCTTATTTAATAATTCTCTACTTTGTTAATTATCAATCTATGATGTTGATTTTTTTTTTTTTTGATAAGTCTATAATGTTGATGTTCAATTGCCTTATCTGAAAAAAAAAAAAAAAAAATTCTATGATTTTGATTTTCTGTATGGAAATCTAGTTTTCCAACATATTATAGTTCATCTGGACCTCTTATCGCCTTTAACCCTGGTTACTAACAATGTGCAGATCAAGGATATGGCTTTGAAATTTTCTGGGGCTTATAAGCAATGCAAGCCCTGCACGGGCACAAGCAGCTACAAGAAAGAACATAGACCGTATCCAGATTTTGATGCTGCTTCAGAAGGAGTTCGATACTCTTATGCGGGTGGAAGCTCAAGCTCGACACCTGCATGGGATTTCACAAGTGCTGGTCGCCATGCTGGTACGAGATCTGACTCAAGATTTACTGGAATGTTCGGTGGTGATAGGACACCTGGAGGGAGGGAGTCTTTCTCAGCCCAGGATTTGGTGCTAGAGGATGAGAATGAGCCAAAGGAATGGATGGCGCAGGTCGAGCCAGGAGTTCATATAACATTCGTGTCGCTTCCTAATGGGGGAAATGATCTGAAACGAATCCGCTTCAGGTATGCCATCAGTTATCCATAGCCAAAATGTCATGAGTAGAGGCTTTAAGTTCAGACCCCAAAATGTAGTTTATCTCAGTAAAAACCCACATGCTTAATTTTGATGTCTGAAAATCCTTTCTATTATAAGCTTTATAAATAAAGAGAAGTTAGAATGATAAGAAGTCTTGGGAAGTTGGGGTGGGTTGGCCACATGTTGTTGTTAATATGATGGCCCTATTAATTACAATAGCTTGATACCCTTTTGGTTTCCTTGGGTGGTCTATTCTACACAATCACGAGTTCAGTCCCTGCATAGTCTGTGGGATATGTCTGCTAACATGCTGTCTTGATTGGCATCAACCAGTTCTTTGTTAGATTAGTTAAATCTTCATCCAATGACCCCAACATATTATACTCCTGTGTTGTTTAGTAAAGAAAACATAAATTGAGGTACATTATATAAAGCTGAAATAGAAAATGAGTCTTGTGAAACTGACTTTATATAGACATTTGAACTTGAAGCCGAGAGATGTTCGACAAGTGGCAAGCCCAGCGATGGTGGGGTGAGAATTATGACAGAATAATGGAACTCTACAATGTCCAGAGATTTAATCGTCAAGCACTAGATACTCCTGCAAGGTCAGAGGATGAGGTAAACCTCTCCCATCTCACTTTATAGACATCTTGTTGCTTGCTAGAACTGGCTCACCTGCATGTGACCTAGACTTTTGGGGGCGTCCAGATTTAGTTAAGAATTGTAACAATGTTAGAAAAATTATGTTGAACTAGCATAAGAAATGAGATTGGCCCCGAGGTTCTTGCTACTAACTGATTGTTTCACCGTTAAACTGCACTGCAGAGAGATTTTTCTTACTCAAGGATGGAATCAGCTAGAGAAAGTCCAATGCCTTCATCATCATATAACAGAGAGTGGACCCCGAGGAACTACCATAAATCATCTGCAGGCAAAGGCTATTTCCCATCTGACCGTATGGACCAAGGAGGCAACCAATATTATGGTGCTGGGCCGAGTGCCTATGCTGGTGGTAGCTCAAGAGGTGAGACCACTTTTGATGCAGCACGGATGACGACCTCATCTAGAGATGAGCCTTCTATTTCTGTTAGCAATGCCAGTGAAATAGAAGCAGAATGGGTTGAAGAAGATGAGCCTGGGGTATATATTACCCTCAGACAATTAGCAGATGGCACTAGGGAGCTGCGTCGGGTCAGATTCAGGTAATGAAAATTCCCCTAAGTTTACACTTTCCCTTGCGACCAAATAACTCAAGAAAATAATGTTTTTGGACTGAAAATCTTAATGAAGTTAATAACTTTTTGACGGATTCCAATTTGATTTTGTGCAGCCGTGAAAAATTTGGGGAGGTGCATGCGAAGCAGTGGTGGGAAGATAACAGAGAGAGAATACAAGCACAATACCTTTAAATCGGACTTAAACGGCACGACATTAGCAGCAGTCATCTGAATTCATTGAGGGTGCAGTTGGATGTCCCCATGAGAATGCACACATTCAATTTTGTTCCGGAACAAGTAATGGAAAGAATCCATCTGCTAGAGTGAATTCCTTTTGTCACAGAAATATCAAACCATCATCACTAGAGATGATCATCTAACATAATTACTTAACTGTTCTTTGATGTTGCTCTGCTATATCTTTAGGGCAAATTTTGGGTCCTTTTTTGCCATCGGTATATGGGATTATTTGGCTCTCCATTTTATATATCGGTGTTTGTTGATTGTAATACAAATTTATTTCAAGAAGTGAAATTGTTCATTGTTGTTATACGAAATCGCAGATGTCACAAAAATATTCACTTAGTACATAAAACAATAGCCAATTGTATTTATTATTTCATAAATTCTTGGCTTGACAAAAAACAAAGTTAAGAACTGTTATCTCAAGATGATGATCTGGATGAAAATACAAAAACCAGGTATCTGTGTCATCTAAGTCTAACTACATCTTCTTAGCTCCGGAGAGATTGAAATTGGGATTCTGAGCCATGAATTTATTGAGCATCTCCTGGTTCTCAATCTCTTGACTGGTTGGGAGCCCCATCTGCTTCTGCCTCTGATCAAACATCATCTTCTCCACAGCAGACCTTGTCTCACCGTCTAAATCGGACAACTTGCTTGGCTCCGGTTCTGCCTTCTGAACATCAATCTCAGGGCCTCCCTTGAACAAGGACTTCCACCACTTGCTCTTGTCGCATTTGGTCATCAGCACAGAGATCATCTTCTGGTCCTCCAAACTCCAATAAGAATCATCCGTCTTCACCGCCTGAAACAGCTCCCCCTGGACTATCGGAGCGCTGCCCTTGAGGCCTACTTCCAAAGAGTTGCTCTTAATCACGCAAGAAACGTCCCTGGCCTTTGTTCCATGTGGGACAGGAACCGTAACAGTCACCTCCTGCAAGTTCTGCCCCCAAGAATGGTTCTCCATGTCGAGACCGTTGGCTTGGTTTGGAGCAAGCTTCTTTTTCTTCTCCTCCTCTAGCGCAGCTTTCTTTACCGCCTCTTCCTCCGCCTTGATTTTGTCCCTGATGTTCTTAACCAGCGATGAGATTTTCTTCTCGGAAGCAGTGGTCTTGAACATATCAGAGTTCTGATTCACGAAGTCGAAGGCAGATTTCAGAAACTCAAGAGGGTTTGAAGGATCAAGAACGGCATTGAAGGACAATATCGAGGAAGGAGGAGAAGGAGAAGATTTCTGGCTTTGTTGATCTTTGTCGTAATCGGTGAGAATTGCCATGACTGAATTCTTAGATTTCTTGACCAGGAATTAGGGTATGATTCGTGAAGATAATGGGTTCTGCTTGTGAGTTCAATGATTTATATAGACTTGTGAGCTCGATTTCTACAAGGGATGTGATTTGAATCCGAGTTCAACTGAAAATATGAGACGTAAAGTTCCTTTTTTTTTTATGAGAGGAGACGCAACGTAAGGCAGCTAACGCGGATTTCTAGAAAACTTGCCACAATATTGTTATAATATTACAAATTACATGTTATTAAATAAAAAATATTATCTATTAGTCTTTCCTCTTAAAAATTAGAAAAAAAATCATTTCAAAATTATATCATTTCAATAAATCTCATTGAAAAAGATTAAAATATCTTATTTTTAAAGTATGAATTATAGTGTTTTTTGTCATTTTCTATAATGCTTTATAAACTATGTAGTTTTGAAATAATTTTTTTCATAATCTTTAAAAAATAAGGTTGATAGGCGGTATTTCCTATTAAATAAATAAATTTGTCTAATATTAGGTGATTTAGTGGTTGCTTCTTTGATAAAAAATGTTAAGATGTGAAGTTTCTGAGTTCAATATCTAGGTA